ATCCATATTCTTAGGTTGTCTTGAAAGTTTGCTTTTCCTACTTGGCCTGCAGAGCAGTGGTCTAAATTATGATTATTGTGGAAGAGCTTTCTGAGAAACTCCTCTATAAATAAAAGGTTAAAAAAGTCCCTCTAAAGCATGTAAATTTTACAAAAAAACATATGATTCTTCTCATGCGCACCTTTTATTCAACCTATAGCTCTAACCGTCTGCAAACTGATTTCAATAGCTAAAGATTCATTTTAGCTAGTGCAGGTCTCTTCAGAGAAGAAATTTAAGAAAATGTTCATAAAGATGATAATGAACTAAACTGGCATGCCTAAAAGAATTAAAAGCACACTTGTATCAAGATTCCCTCTAGCTTGATATTTTGCACCAATGTGCTATCAAATATGACTGAAAGACTTAGGGTGAGATGCTCTGATTATTTAATCTGAATTATATGCACTCTCTTTACCGAAATAAGAAGATATGTAAGTGAGCGTGCTTCAGAAGGCTCCTTTGGAGATTTTGCCTGGGGACCAAAATAACCTGGAGCAGAATAATATTTCAAAATTTTCTAAAGCCAACCTGCTGACTCCAATCTTAATTCAGAAATATTGTTAAGGAAGTTAACGCTGATTAGCTAGAGGGAAGCTAAGATAATAAGGGCACACTAATCACATTCCCAGCACAGCGAAGCTGAATGCAATCAAATGAAAGAAAGCTGTCGGGTCAAGGAGTTCCTGCTGCAAGTCCCACCAGCGGAAGCTGCTTGTTATTTTTTGATGCAGAGCTAGAAGGATGGAGAGCTGGAATACAGCGAGGGTGCTGCAGCACTGCAAAGACTTACCAGGGAAGGAAGGGAGCCAGAGGGCATGCAAATGGGGAGCCGGCCCAGCTGAAAGCTGCAGTGAGTGGGAAAGGAAAGGTGAGAGGAACAGGTACTGGGGGAGAGGAAGGCTGAGAAAAAGAATCTGACAGGAATCTGAGTATCTCTTCCTTTATTCCCATCTTGCCAGGATTAAAAAATGGTGAGACGATCACAAACAGAGATGAACAGATGGATTATTCTTCTTATATAGTTTTGGGTCGCATTAATCTCTGTGGTGAGTTCTCATTAAGCAGAAAAAATGTTACTACTAGAAACAAACCAGAGCAGGCTGATACGCTACAGACAGATGCGGAGAATCTCTTCTGCATATTGCAGAGTCAAGCAGAGGCAAACAGTGGTAGCCTCACTTTTCTGCTCCTCTCAGTGGTACAGAGGCTTCTGCAGCCCCTCCAGGCTAATCAAAGATATCGCTGGCCTAATTGGAAGTAAAAGTGCCTAAAAATCAGCGGACGCTTGGAACAGAGGGATGCAGAGAACCAGCAGAGAACACATACAATAGCATGGAGGTGAAGCATAGTAGAGGAGTCTAAGCAGTTAGGGCACAGGAACCTAGGAGAGGTCAAAGTAGAAAGGAGTCTGGGTGTGGGTGTGGGCGTCAGAAGTGCCTCGGAGACAGGGATGATTCATTTCCACCCTCAAAAAACGCTCAAATCCCTGCTTGCATGCGTGATCCCATTTCAAGGATTGTTAATACCAATATTTGTGCTGTTTTTGTATCCACCCCCAGTTCCTGAACCAATATAGTCCAGTTAGTGTAGGAGGTGACAGCCCAGGAAAGGAGAATGTTGTTTTCCTGGGCTGGCTGAGACTGTTCAGGGTGAAAAAAGGAAAGGATGAAGGAACAGCAAAGGGACTAGCAGGCAGCCAGAGCATTTTGCAGACAGACACTTCCTCCCAAAGAGTCAGTCAACTGGAGTGTAGCATGAGCAGTGCTATATAACCAAGGAAACCAAGCATCCACATTTTTTGTCAAAGGTATTACAGCAGATTTAGGATTGACAGAAGCTCCTTGTACACGTCCATAAAGCAAAGAATGAGTAAATTTAAAGCCTTGAAAGCAAGGTCAGGAAAAATTCAGGTCACGTAAACAACCAGAAAGCGAGGGAATACACAGTAAATATAATCTTCATTTTAATTAGCCATCTTCAAATGTTGTCTCAACACACCAACCATTACATCTGCTAAGATTCTCCCTTTACAGTTGCTAAAGAAACAGGGAGTAGAGCAGATGAACACTGCAAAACCAAAATTGAACGCTTGCCTTTTCCTAAAATCACCGTACTCAGTGGGCCTAATTTAAATAACCCACTCAGATCAGCTAAGTATCACCCAACCTTCTGCTGCAGTTCCATCCAAGATGAAATCCTTGCTTACTCTTCACTAAGCTCTGGAGATCACTGCTGTGCATGTTAACAGATGGGCTACAATATGCACCTACAGTCACACAATACACAAAATTGGTACTGAAAGGAGTATTCTTGATCTCTGCAGGTTCACAGACACCTCTCTCCACATGCCACGCTGACAGCTCCCCAGATAATCCCTTCACCACTCTGTCAGAGACAGCAAACGCAGCCACAGCTCAGGCAGACAAATGCTACAAAGCAAAGAACACCACCACGTTTGGATTCACCAGGCTGCATTCCGCTGGAGCTCGCTAGTTTTGCTGTTTGACAATGGACTTTACTTTAGCACATAAATGGGATGCAATGTAACTTCCCTTTATATTTACTATGTTGGCCAGAACAGCTTTCTTGTTTTCATCAAACAAAAGGTTTAAACCCTATAAAAGATAGCTCACAGTTAAGTTTTATTAAAAATATGCTTCACAGAAGTCATTCTTTTCTTAAACTGACCTGGTCTGTGGTACATTATTTACATAACCGCTGTAATATCTATTTCAAACCTGACAAGACAGCTCTCTTTAGAATGGTAGGCTGTCCTGCCTGTCACCATGATGGGTAAACAGTGTCACCTTCTCAGGGCATGATGAATTATAGAGAAGTAGTAAAGTGCACCATCCATCACAATGGCACTAAGTAGGTTTTTGAAGTAGATTTAAGATATCACAAATGCTGTTCAGACTGTTACCAGAAAGCACAAATTGGACAGCTCATATACAATAGCCATATGATGAATGGATATGACAGGTCTTCAAAGAAAATGAGTCCTGCTATTCTACAAATAACCTTGTCACAAGGAAAGTAGAACTACAGCTCTACTGGTAGGCAGACTGCAATAACTTAATGGTTTTTGCCTGAACTTCTAGGAAACCAAACACACAAATGAGATACAATGAAGCAGCAGTATTGAAGCAATTTTAGCAATTCAACCGATTATGTGACACATAATAGAAACTCTCCATTAAGGATGCATCACATTTGTAAGAAAATTATTCAGATTATGAGTCGTTGCTACAAGGACATCTTTTCACAGGAAAAACTTCAAGATGTTGCAATCAAAACCCACTGCAACGTATTCAAAACAGACAACTGGTAGCTTTACTGCATGCAATTATGTCTCCCTCTGAAGGCTGATCCCAGCAACAACCACCACCTGTTACTTCTCATTTAAAAATTTTCTAACTCCCTTAGTCTAAATAGCAGAAATTTTTGCATAAGCTTGAAATCACCACTGATTGCTCCATAGCCTAAACAAACAGGTCAATCTACCTTTTAAGGTAAAGCTTTGTAGATCTAAAGACACTTAGGGTAGATTCTTTGAAGAAAAAAAAAATCTGAAACAGTGGGAGGGTGCTTGGCATCTCAAATAACTGACCATAAAAACTGTGTACAGGCAGTCAATCTTTGGCTCAGTTAAAAGCTTCCATTTTGAAAAAGCCAAGTTA